GGTATATACCAGTGTGCAGAGGGTCCTTCAGAATTTCTAGAGTTAATGTGGTTACACCCCTTTAGCACCTGATGGATAAATGCATGCACTAGCTGTATGGATTTGAGCACAGGGATCTCTTGTTTGTTTGGTTTAGTGTGTGACGGGAGTGACTTTTGGGGGTGGGGGGACCCCTGTATCATCTTCCCAAATTCCTCTTATGTTTAAGTCACCCTGTGCCTGTTAGGGGACAGGGTGAAGTGTTTTAATATTGGTGTGGGGGTTCTTCATTGTTCTCTGCCATGCGGCTGCATCCTATTGTTCTAGCAAACTATTATGGGATGCATGTGTTCCCCTATTGTCTACTGCCAAGTGGTATATCCCTTTGTTCTAATATGTGTCTTGTTTGGTGGGGGGGGGGGTTTCTGGAAGCCCTTCCCTCCTGATGGGATGGCCTGTGATGTGTTTCCTGTTCCTGGTTGTATTTCCCCGCCCTGTGTATATATCTTGTGTTTGTGTTAAAATAAAGCAGTTGACTTCCTGTCTTAGAAGAGTCTGGTGCTGTCTTTTTCCTGCATGATCAGCGGTGGGGTACGTGGATTTGTGTTCGGACAGGGGAGCTAGAGTCTAACAGAAATACCCTAGTGCAGTCGGGGTCCGGTTCCGTTACAGAGTGCTCTCTGCTTTGCAGCATGACAGCGCAGCCGCCTGTCAGCTGCTCCTCCTGCACTGAAGAGGCTCTGTCACTTGAGGTGTGCTGTCACTCATAAACAGAAGCCATCAAACATAGCTGGCTTCTGCTTTTAGAATAAGTGACAGTGATGAGCACATGACTATTTCCATGACTGATAATTGGAGGTCCGGATGAAAAAAAATGCCTACTGACAGGAGTGACATTGCAGTCACTCCTGTCAGTGAGAAGCAGGAAGAAGGGAGCTTCTAGAGCTCCCAGCACACTCTTCCTGCACCTAGAGTGCCTGTCCTGATAGTATGGAACAGTTATTCCCACTGCTGATTTTTAGAGACCCCTTGGCCAAAATGAGCATCCTCTAAGAAGCACTGTTATGGCTTGTGTACGCAGGTATTTGTACAAGTCAGAACTACATATCTCCCCATACAAGTTAACAGGAATGTGACTACAGTTTGAACTATCTCAGAAGCACCTCTCAAACTGACCTCAAATACAAGTTGAATGCATATTTATTTATTTCAGGTACTTATATAGCACCGTCAATTTTACACAGCGCTTTACACATATATATTGTACATTCACATCAGTCCCTAACCCTCAAGGGATGTACAATCTAAGGTCCCTAACTTACATTTATACATACACATATTAGGGCCAATTTAGACAGGAGCCAATTAACCTACCAGCATGTCTTTGGAGTGTAGGAGGAAACCGGAGTACCTGGAGGAAACCCACGCAGGCAGAACATGCAAACTCTAGGCAGGTGGTGCCGTGGTTGGGATTCAAACCAATGACCCTAGTACTGCCAGGCAGAAGTGCTAACCATTTAGCCACTGTGCTGCCCTATGAAAGCAAGTTGCATTTTCCCATCAATATATGCCTTACACAGTTATAGGACCCCTTTCCCCAATCCCTCCCCAAAACGGAAAATGCTTTACTGTCCAAAAAGGGCACCTTCTCTATCTGATGAAGAGGCTCAAGCTCCACAACAGATCAATAGTGGAGGGAGATGCTGTAAAATCCGTTCACATGAAGGCTATCAACGAATGGCAATCTCCTCCACCTGTCTAAGTCGGTGCTCCTCTGTATTCCCTTCAGAACTGACAAGAATCATAGACCATGAAAGAGAGTTTTAAATAGGAAAAAAGAGATTTGGAATCACTGTTTATTGCTATGTCTGTCCTAATACATGATGAACATTAAAGTAGCATTTTAATCAAATCCTAACTATACCTAAAACTGATCCCTCTCCCATTCTAAGTCTGTTCTAACTACCGTGTAAAGAAAGATGTCTATACTTACCTATTCTGAGGGCACTCTGGTCTGGTCATATGGTCTCTCCACTGGCAGGCTTCAGTGAAGAGGAGAGATCGCTGACAACAGCTGCGGAGCCTGGGCGATGACAACACCCATGGACTTACTATGGGGATTCAGTTGTCAGCTGTCTCTCCTCCACACTGGGAACCAGGGGCGGACTGACCATTTGGAAACTCGGGAACTGCCCGAGGGCCCAGGGTCAGTAGGGGGCCCCATGAGATGCCCCTGGTACCTTTTTCATAGGTTTTTTTGAGTTTGGGCAAGGACACAGGGGCCCCATGATCCCCTATTGCCCGGGGGGCCCCATGAGTTGTCAGTCCGCCCCTGCTGGGAACCAATCATGTAACTGGACCAGAGCAATTTCAGCATAAGTAAGTAGAGACATCTTTCCTTTCACAAGTACCTAGAATAGGCTAAATACAGAGGTGAAAAAAGACTGAACTGTCTTTATCTGCCAAATGTTTTGTAATTCTGCCAGGCTCCATTTATGACTGCCATATGCTACAGCTTCAGGAATACAGTGGTGTCATTTCCCAACCACAGCCTCCTGAATGGACAAGAAAAAAATCTACAACACACCGGTCACTCTGTTCCCCTATTATCACATGTGTAGGTAGCAGAGCCTGATTGGCTGGCAGTCAGAGTGCTATTATGCAGAGGATTGCAGAAGGCCTAAATCAAGACAAATTCAGATACCTACACTAGATACAAGTTAATATACAGTTAATTACTTTGAAAGGAATACACAACTACATTAAGCTGTGCTTCACATCTTCCAGGAGGTAAGCTTTAATTGTTCATAAAAAAGAACAATTCCGGTCATTAGTATAGTCAAGGCCCCAAAGATAGGCTGCAATGTGCCTCGTACATTCCAATAATGATGACCTTGCATACGCTGCCCTGATCTTGTCCGCACGGTAAAGTGCAATGCTGGTATCTAGAACAGGAGAGAGAAGAGCACTTGGAAACATAACTTTGTTATGACTGGTGGGACTGGGATAACAATGCAGAAACACATGCCGGTCCTTGCTGAAACAGAGCAGAGAAGTTATTGCTACAGTGACCTTCTAGGTTAGAACAAAATGGAGTCTGATGTGCCTGGTGCCTGCCTCTTACAATGTGTTAAAAATATGTGGAGAGCAGGAATTTTCTGTACTGTAGGAACAAAACATCATTTTAATAAATAACCTTTTTCATTCTCTTCGTGAATGTGTTACTTAAGATGTTCAATATGTAACTTCATCTAACTCATTTCATGTGTTCACTGCCAGGAGGCAGAACAAACAGGCCATGCAATGGATGTCAGACATGTGTGGATCATTCACATAGAGGGAAGCAGTGCTGTTTTATTACACTTTTCCAGAATATTTGATTATTGCTGCAACTGCATGTTGGACCTGTCAGTTGATACAAAAAAAAAATGGAGCAAATGTTTATTTGTTGCCCATAGTATATAGATACCTTGTGTGGAAGGAAAAATACTATTTGCTGTGGGCAAAAGCTCCATTTATTCCTCCAGTTTTTATAAATCCATAAAGCAGGCTAATTTATCTTTTCAGATCTCTTAAACTGGGGTGTCAGCACAAGCCACATCATTGGAGGAAAGCAGGCTGAGTTCCCAGCACAGAGAGAGAACTGACCACACTGTCTTCTCCTGCTTAGTGTGGTCAGTTTTTAATAGGAAAGCAGAGGGACTAACAGGAACACCAGGAATTTCACACAAATTAAACAATACAAAGCAAACAGTACATGGTATAGCAGGCACATAACAGGAATATGAAATGTTAGAATTACATATTCTTTAAGTAGCCAAAATGTGTCATTCTATGGTCTTTAACTGAATATATTTAAAGAGACATCCCAGGTTTAACATGCACATGCATCATTTGTTACTTTACTTGCAGCATGATGATGTTGTTATGCAGGTGTGTACACATTGGTGATGATGTGGGCGCAAAGATGTAAAGTGCATTATTATTATTATTATTATTATTATACAGTATTTATAAAGCGCCGATAGTTCGCTCAGCGCTGTACATTACAAAGGGGGACAGAACATGTGACAGAACAATACCAATACAATGCAAAACATGAGGGGATTGAGGGCCCTGCTCTTTCGAGCTTACAATCTAGGAGGGAGGGGATGGTGGCACAGGAGGAGATAGCTGTGGGGGATGGCGTGGTAGGAAGAGTGGAGGAGGTCGGCAAGTTAGCAGGGGGTGGGGTAGGCTTCCCTAAAGAGATGGGTTTTCAGGGTGCGCATTATGACATCATTACGCCAATCTAAGTGCAATTATAAATAAAAGCCAGAAGATAGTGTCCATTTTTACATTTGTTTGTTTGGGCACCTTTTATTTCATGACACTCAGGGAAACATTGAGTTTTGGCTTTTTTTTTCTTTATTTAGTGTTTCTTTTGTGATTTATTGGGGTGTGTTAAGATCTGAATTTAGAATGTTTTTTTGAGGGAGAGATTGGGGGTTATTTACTAAAACTGAAGAGTGCAAAATGTGATGCAGCTCTGCATAGAAACCAATCAGCTTCCAGGTTTTATTGTCAAAACTTAATTGAACAAGCTGAAGTTAGAAGCTAATTGGCTACCATGCACAACTGCATGAGATTCTGAGTGCACCAGTTTTAGTAAATCCACCCCATTGCATTCAGAGTCAGAGTGTGGACCTTTAAGCTGAGTCAAGATTACCTAGAGATTGCTTAAAACACTTTAAAGTTCACTCATAACTTCTCATGTCCCAGCATATACCTGTAGGAGATTATAGCCTAATTTGATATATTTCACCAACTTTTTCTATTTTATTTTTACTTATGTTATAATGAAACATAAGCCCAGTGGGCTTCATGTGCGGTGAGACACATGCATTGCTCTTATGTAATAATCAATATTGAAACTACTGAATTCATTGGATTAGCATAACAGTCAAGGCGTTAATTATGTAGATCAGGGGTCTTCAAACTTTCTTAAAAAAAGTGTCAGTTTCAGACTATAGGGGGGCTGGACTGTTGCAAGTGGTAGTAGAAAATGTCTCAGGTTTGTAGGTCAGTGGGAGTATCAAAAGTTATATAGTGCCTGTGGTTAGCAGGAGGAGGAATGATGACCCATCATTGGTATTAGTGGAAGGAATAATGCCCCATCAGTGGTGTCTGTGGGAGAAGCAGTGCCCCATCATTGGTGGCAGAAGGATGAATAGTGCCCCATCGTTGGTATTAATGATAGGAAAGTGCCCCATCATTGGTATCAGTGGGAGGAATAGTGCCCCATCATTGGTATCAGTGGGAGGAATAGTGCCCCATCATTGGTATCAGTGGGAGGAATAGTGCCCCATCATTGGTATCAGTAGGAGGAATAGTGCCCCATCATTGGTATGAGTGAGAGGAATAGTGCCCCATCGTTGCTACCAGTAGGAGGAAGAGTGGCCCATTGTTGGTGTCAGTGGGAGGAATAGTGCCCCATCACTGGTCTCAGTGGGAGGAATAGTGCCTCATCGTTGGTGTCAGTGGGAGGAATAGTGACCCATCGTCAGTGTCAGTGGGAGGAATAGTGCCCCATTATTGTGCTCTGTAGGAGCAATAGTGCCCCATTGTTGGTATCAGTAGGATGAATAGTGCTCCATCATTTGTGTCAGTGGAAGTAATAGTGCCCCATCATTGGTGTCAATTTCCTTTGTAGAGGTCTCCTTTAAAAAAAAAAATCTCAGCTGTGTAATGGGACAAAATATTACAGTTGTGCCAGCTAGCCTTGAAAAATCAATATCCTTCATCTTGTTACTTTTGTTGCAAATTAGATGTTAAAAATTGCTCTACAAAAGATTCTGAGTCTCATCTTTCCTTAAATGAACTTTTTCTGCTCAAATGTTTTACTTAATCAGGTATTCTTTTTTTCTTGCCATTAAAGAGTGCATGCAAGGTATATAAAATGTAACTTTAGCATGTCTGACTCTAGGCACTGGCAGAATTCACAAGTTAAATGGATTGATTGTAGTAAGCTATTTATATAGCAAAAGCCCTTCTCTTGTAAACAAATGCAAAGAAGCACGTAATTTAGTTAAATGGAACCATGCCACCCAATTAATGCCAGTGCAACAAAAAAAAACACAATTGATTGCCTGTTATGGCAACCGCTGAAGTATGCCATGAGTACTATAGCAACCAGCTAGATTTTCATTAATTCACAGCTTTTTATTTTTTATGCTAATGAGTTTATTGTTCCCTTTCAGGGGGCATGTACAACACAGGCACATAGGAAATACTAATGTACATCCAGAGGGTTCAGCCATTTGTAGGGGGATGGCAGCACCAGCTGACCCTTTACTCATGCCTTTACTTATGTATGCAAAAGCAAAATAAAAGTTATAATATGTTTTAGCTTGGTAAGTATATCCTGGTGTAGGCTGTCTAATTTAAATGACCCCTTGAGCAGTTATTACAACAACTTTTCTTAATCTTTATGCTCCATATGAACCCTTGAAATAGTTTTTTTGTCTTGTGTCTACTAAAACCAGTTTATTAGGGTCGAGGGGAAATTCCCATTACATTGGTGGTCACAATGCCACTTTTACATTGGTGATCAGTGGAAAATGCCGCTTACATTGGTGGTTAGTGAGAAGAATATGTCTTACATTGGTGGTCAGTGGGAAGAACGCTACTCACAATGGTGGTCAGTAGTAAGAGTTCCCCTTAAATTGGTGGTCAGTGGAAAATGTCTCTTATATTTGTGGTGAGTGGGGGGGATACTTCTTACATTGGTGGTCAATGAAAAATGCCTCTTACATTGGTGCTCAGAGGACAAATGCCTCTTACATTGGTGGTCAGTTGGAGAGAAATGCCTCTTACATTGGAGGTCAGTGAGAAGAATACATTGTACATTGGTGGTCTGTGGGAAGAATGCCCTTTACATTGGTGGTCAGTGAAAACAATCCTCTTACATTGGTGGTCAGTGGGAGGAATATTCCTTATATTGGTGGTCATTGGGAGACATGTCTCTTACATTGGTGTAATTTACACCAATTGGTGTCATGCTGCTCTCTCTGCCAGTTGCTATTGGCACTAGAACCATGCAGGCACCATCAGAGGAGATGTCAATTGGCCAAAGATCAAGAAACCCCTAGGAACCTCTGGGGAACCCTAGGTTTCTATGGAACCCTGGTTGAGAATGGCTGTATTAGGTACCACCAAGTGTTTTCAAAACATTATAGACACTTTCACCAAGTGTCTATAATGTTTATAAACAACCAAAATATTTTACACACACACAAAATCAAATGGATTCTCCCATCCACACATGCAAGGTGGATGACAGAATCCTTCCTGCTGTGCCATTGTATTCTGACAGTCAGGACTCCTCCACTGTCATAATACACTGATCAGATGACTGTAGGCTGCTGATTGACAAACATTTTTCAACAGTCCCATTAGATAGTAGTTGATTGTTCGTTTAACTTCAGTTTAGCAAGAACAGCCATAGATGGTTCAAAATTTGGCCAGTCGCTGTTGAACTGACCAAAATTTCAATCCATCTATGGCCAGCTTTACCCAAACAATGTAATATGCAGACAAACCTATGCAATCTAGTTGATTAGTTTCAAATCAGATAGACACTATTACTATACAACTGATGGTAGAGCTAAAGGAGAATGTACAAACAGTATAGTTTATGGTTAAATTGATAATAAATCTTCTTTTTTTTTTAAATAAAAAACATGTTATACTTACCTGCTCTGTGCAATGGTTTTGCACAGAGTAGCCCCGATCCTCTTCTTCACGGTGCTCCAAGCTCCTCCTCCTTGACCAGTCTCCCCAATAGCAAGCCGCTTGCTGGGGAGTGCTCACTCCCAAGCCCAGCACTATGTGTCCATAGGACACATAGAGCAGTGGCTCAACCCAGCCCCACACTTTCCCCTCATTGGCTCACTGGCTGTGATTGACAGCAGTGGGAGCAATGGCTCCCACTGTTGTGTCTCAGCCAATGAACAGAGAAAGACCAGGGACAGCAGAGGCTCCTGTGCACATCACTGGATCAAGAGGGGGTTCAAGTGAGTATTAGAGAGGGCTGTGGGGTGAACACCATACAGAAGGTTTTTTTTACCTTCATGCACAGAATGCACGAAGGTAAAAATACTTCTGCCTTTAGAACCACTTTAACTTCACGTGACCATACATGCTTCAATAAATGATCAATAATGCTCGCTTCCGATAGGTTCCATTTGGTTGACATACCACATTGAGGGAAGTGAATTTCAATTATTGGTGAAGACACGATCATAATTCTTAATTGAAACTGATGACATCTCTGTTTTTACCATGTAATCTCATCATCAGATTGATCAAAATACGATTGTATTCATGAACGAAGTATCACGGTGCTGCTGATCAGTGCACGCCGATCCATAATTCTCTGGCCGATCAGCTCAATTTGATCAAATTGGAATGGAAATTGAGTCTAAATTGATCAGAAGGGAAGTTCTTGTTGGTTGATTTGATTGATTTGATCGGATGGCACATTGATCGGATGAAACAAATAAAAATAAAGAGTGTATGACCACCATTAATCTGATTAATACCAACCAACCTTCCTCAGCAGCATGTGTAGAGATTTTATCATTGGGAAGCCAGAAACAATTGAGTACTGACGTGATACTTTCTTTATTTGCACTAACATACATTGTATGTTACTGCAAATAAAAAAAATAAAAAAAGTATCATGTCAGTACTCAAATGTTTCTGTCGCAAGTGCACTAATACCGCTACAATCACCTCAAGCATCATTGGGAAGCAGAATGTTTTATATGTCATATAAACATGGAGGGGAAGATTAGTAGTAGATCTCATTGAAACATTCTGAAAGTAAATAAAGAATGTTAAAAAAGAACCAAACATTCAGAATCAAAGTGCACAAAGTAACAGAGAATGCAGAAAGTGAAGTAACCACAACAAGCTGCTGAGTGGTAGCTGCAGGTTACAGTTTAAATGTCACTTACCATGAGTGTGGCTTTCTTGACATCTGTCACTTCCAGCAGCTGATGGGGAGAGCCGGATTGGTAGTTGAAGGAGTGAAGTGCGAGTTGGGCTGCATGTCGGGCTACTCTGCTGTTAGTGGTGATGTCGGAGGGGGACTGATCCCGGGAGGGGGCAGCTTGTATGGTGAAGGGCAGCAGAGCCAGCAGGCAGCAGATCCCCGGAATCCTCATCATCATCATGCTGTGTTGGTGGAGTTGTCTGTGATCAGAGCTCCGGATCCCGGCTACAAATAGTGTGAGTGTGCCTACCCCTCCTCCCAGAGGGTGTCCTGCCCCTTCCATCACCTCCTCCCACCAGGCTTATCTCTGCCATCCTCCAGCTCCCTCTCCTCTTTCCCATAAATCAGCTTATGCTCCAATGACTTCTACCTCCCAGATCTCTTCATTTCTTCCTGCTGGCATCTCCTCTCATTGTGTGTGCTGACTAATCACCCATCCCTCCACTATTCCCCCTCCATCCCTCCACCTGTGTGCTCTGATCACCATGACTGCACAGGTGATGCAGGTGCCTGTCACATTCACCTCCTTCACTCCATTATATGGAGGAATGCAGGCTGTGACTCACAATCTACAAATAGAAATGTCAAAGTTTACACAAATCCAAAAAATGGAGGGGTTCACACAGGGGAAGAATGACAACTCATGGGCCCCCCAGGTAATAGGGGATCATGGGGCCCCTGTGTCCTCACCCACACTCAAACCACAAACAAAAAGCCTATGAAAGGTACCAGGGGCATCTCATGGGGCCCCCTACTGACCCCGGGCCCTCGGGCAGTGTCCAAGTACCCGAATGGTCAGTCTGCCCCTGGGTTCACATTGTTACCTTTCCATGTCTTTATGTGCAATGCATTCTCCTGCCATGTATCATGAAGAATGTATGGACATTATTGTTTTGTACCAATGCTGCACTAAACTGATGGAAATACACGTAAAGAAGAAGACACAGAAAAAAGAAAAAAACAAAACAAAAAATACAAAAAAAATGTCACAAAGCACAGCTATATGCTGACATGTATGGACATTATTGTTCTGTACCAATGCTGCACTAAACTGATGTAAATACACATAAAGAAGAAGACACAGAAGAAAAACAAACAAAAAAACAGAACAAAAACAAAATTTTACAAAGCATAACTGCTGACATGCATGGACATTATTGTTCTGTACCAATGATGCACTAAACTGATGTAAATACACATAAAGAAGAAGACACTGAAAAAGAAAAAAATAACAAAACAAAAAACAAACAAACAAAATCTAACAAAGTACAGCTATATGCCGACATGTATGGACATTATTGTTCTGTACCAATGCTGCACTAAACTGATGTAAATACACAAAGAAGACACAAAAGAAAAAAAACGTA